ATAGTCACATTATCACCCTGGTTAAGAAAAAAATCTGGTTCACAGACCTACTTTCTGGGAGTGCAATGGTCTTCGCGGGAAAAAAAAAAAGGACATAATAATAAGTGAAAAATGCCAGGATTTATGGCTATTTGGCTGTGCTGACTAAAAGCAATCGTGTGATACGGTAGCGTAACTTACGAAGGTTTTGAAGTCCACACCAGTTACTTTAAAGTCGTCACCTTATGATAAACCTAAAATGAAAATGAAAATGCATTGAAAGTTCGTTAAAAGAAATTTCCGTTAAGGGGAAAAATTATGCATGTATGTACTGTGTACGCCGGAATGCTTAGAATCTATCATACGACGCACAAAAATACCAATAAATACAGTATATCAAGTTTCTTTTGTTTCGCGGCGCAACGATTTCTTTCCCTGCTAACACTAATGCAAACAAATGATCGATCTTAAGAATCATCGACATTTGTAATTAAATATTTTCGTGGTCGATTAAAACGTGACATGACCAATGTTTCTCGGATTTAACTCACCGGTTTGATTCTACGGAAAGATATTAAGAATCTGATATAAAATCTGAAATAAAATTTGTCACACGCGAATTTCCTATCACTGAAAACGGTAATTATTTCAGTGTACATTCTAATCTATATTTGGTTTCAATGACGCAGGTTCTGGACACAATGATGTTTGGAATTTTTTTTTTTCTTATGACGATATACTTTATGATGTTTGTCGCGCAGTGATAAACATGATAAACATGATTACGCGTCTATTTCACTTAAATGGATCAATGTTTGTCACTCCTATGTATCGAGGATTACTTCTAATTCGTATTGGTAATTTCCGAAAATCCGCTCCAGTCACTGGTTATGATTTTATGGGTAGAAAAAAAAAATCCAAGATGATTGTCCTATAAACGTCCCATGGGCTCCATATACTTTTTTTTTTTTTGTTTTTTGAAAGTGGAGTTATGACATAATTGTACAGAATGATTTACTGCGTGTAACTAGATAAAATCTAGACATATAAAGTCACAATCTTCATAAAATAAAAATGATTGCAAATTGAATTGCCTACGAGCTCCAATTAATTTATGCTTTATCTTTCGTTTCACGTTTCACCCTTTTTATTAAACTGCCGAGATAATAATTTATTAGACCTTAAAATATTGTAACCAGAAAAAAGTAAGGAGTTAGTTGGATATGACTGTACCACTTCCCGAATTATGTTTGCGCGAGGTTTTTGGATTCCTCGCGGATGATGAGAACGAAAGTAATTTGTCTCGGAAACAAAATATATTCTCATGCATCTTAACGAATCGATATTGGTGTCAAACGGCCGTGTCTTTCTTGTGGAGTGATCCTTTTTCTATTAACCTTCGTCCTGAAAAAGCAGAATTGCTAATAGATACATATGTTGCCAACTTTTCCCACAAGGAACTCGAAATATTAAATATTTCGCACTTCGAATCTTATGCTCCTCCGACATTCGATTATGTCCTGTTTATTCGCACACTCGTTGTCAGCGGAATGATCGAAACAACTTCTCGATGGCTTAGACGAAAAGCGATTACCGCTGAGGAATGTCCAATCATCGACACGCTGTCTCGACACATTTTAAGGCGTGCATCAAATATCAAACACATCGTATCCAACTCGCTGCTCAACTTGTTCTCAGTGTCAGATGCCACGAACTTTATGAATTTGACCGAGCTTACAGGGTTCGGCGAGGGAGCTCCTGGAATATACGCCTCCGCGGCGGAAGTCGCGAAAAACATCCGTATTCTGCGGTTTGCACTTACGAACAACTATTCGGTGACGCCTACAACCGTTAATGACATTGCAAGTCTCGTACAAGCGCAAAATCGGCTTGAGCGG